AAAAAAAAAAAGTTTTTTGAATTCGTAAGCAACAAACTAACATTTTTTATCTTCTACCATCGAAAATCACAGTTCTGTTTCGCAGAGCATCGATAAATACGTTTCGTTTGATTAATTTTTATATAAAACACTAAAGAGTGATAACAAAATTTAAATAAATCTAGGATCTGATCAGTATTAAATATTCATATTATAAAAAGTTTCCTTTTACCTTTTCTCTTAAACACGTTTCCGACTGCCCATCCGAATATTGTTCGAAATAAATACGATATTGTTACTTGTTTATGCATTTTTGTAATTTGTAGAAATGTTTGAAATAAAAATTAACGTGGTACACGTACAAGAAATTCATCTGGCATCAATTATTTCTTATTTTACAGCTCCAATAAAAATATCAGCACGTAGGTATATATCACTTTATTATTAACTTTTTTTTTTCTTCTTAGAGGTTTCAGTTTCGGAAATATTTTATAAGTTTCATAATTTTACATTAAAAACATCATAAAATTTTTGAAAATACAGTAAAACATAAATATATATAAGGTAAAACATGCATAAATAACACATTTACAACAAGCCAGAGCATACATATGTGTACATTTATGTTTTGACTTGTTATAAATGTAAAGTACCTAGAACAGATTTAAAAATCACAAATTGGTATTGTTCGAAATTTAAAAACATTTCATCAATGTATTATTTTCGTACTGGAAGGATATATGTGCAATTGTCCTTCTTCAACAGGGTTATACGAAGCCTTTTAAGAATAACAAAAATCTTCAAATCCCTTTTGTTGAAAACGTTACATTTAAGTTCGTTCAGTAATTCGCCTTCAGTTAAAAATCCATACGTTTTGAAAGTGTATTCAGAACTTGTCCTTCTAAAGGGCAATGGTACTACGGGTTTCGCTCTTTTCCTGTACTTCTTCTTTAATCCATCATTAATTGCACTGATAAAAGTATTAATCTCATACATCTTTATACTTCCAACTAGATACCTAAAACAACCCCAACAAAAAAATGGTTTTAATACCTATAATTTGGATTAACAAACAAGGAGTCATTTTCAGGGAAAACAACACTAAAATGTGCAACCCAAGATACATCTACTACATCCACGATACACAAATGCAATGATCAATCAGATATTGATTATTGATTATTTCGGAAAAGCGAACAATTTAAATTAATTCCATTATACAATACTTACCGAGGAAGATTTTTAAACTCGTCTTCATCCAAATGTGGCAACTCAGTGAACAATTTCTTAACACTTTGTGGTGGACAGTTTTCCTGTTTTTTAGGCGAAGCACTTGATGATGTGACTTTCATCTTTTCCGATTCATATTGCTGTTTTAAACCTATCAATCTGTTTATAAGAAGATTTTTAACTGGTGCTTCGATAATTAATTGAATACAAATAGGGCAGGTGTTGTGTCGAACGAGCCATTCTTCGATGCACGATTTGCAATAAGTATGAGAACAGTGGAAAATCACGGCATCTCTGAATTCATCTTCACAAATACTACATATTAATTCCTCCTTAATCTTTTCCAATAATGAAATATCTAACAAGATGCTACTTGGCACCATTGTTAATAATCCACAGTTATTATATAAGTTTTATAAGGCAGTAAAAAATAAAAACTGACAACTAAAAATGTTGAAAAAGACGTCGAAACCAATTTAACAGATTATCAAAGCAGAAACTTACCAAAAAAAAGCTTTTATACTGTCCTGCACAGAAATTATTAATTACAACTTTTATTACGAATCCTAAGCAACGAAATAAACTTAATGATTCTAAGGAAAAATATTAGTACAAATTAAAACAAAGACTCTCGAGTGTTTATTGTATAGGGGATAGATAACCTTCACAAGACAAAATTGATAGTAAAACTTCGAAAAATTTACATTCGTTTCTACCAAAGGAAAGAAAAATTACTATTAAAATACAATGTGTGGTACAATAATATAATGGTTCTGAATCGATTTTGATAATACTCTCCATATATAAGAAGATTATCAAAAGTAATCTAGACTTTTCGTCTACCTTTTTGTTTGTTTATATGTCTGCATGGACTAATCCTCGAAACATTTGAACCGATTTCGATGAGACTTGACATATACGAAGAGGAAACGCTACCAGGAGCAATCTACACTACCTTTTGTCTACCTGCTTGTCTATCAATACGGACTAATCTTTGAAACAAATGAACCGATGGCAATGAGACTTTTCATAAACGGATTGAGGAGATTGTCAACAGTAATGTAAGCTAATATTCGAAACGTCTGAATCAATTTCGATGAGACTTTACTTACACGAAGAAGAAAGTTTACCAGGAGCAATCTAGACTACCTTTTGTCTGCCTGTTGGCTATTTTCTGAAACGACTGAACCGATATCGATGAGACTTTTTATAAACAAATAGAGGAGATTATTTACTTTTTTTATAAGAGTTGCGTTATAAAAAGATCTTATTTGACATATACACCTTATTCACCCCATCAAAAAATGTGCTCAATGTAATGCGTTCTTGGTATCAGACCTCTTAATTTTTTTTTGCTTCCTAAGTGATTCTGACTATCTCATCAAAATTTTGTTTTACTGGACAAATATTCCATTTATTGATTCTAGTAGAAAATACTTAAAAGAAACTTGCTGAATCATAACGAAAATTAAAATGTCCGTATCGTAAAAAAATCTACTTTTGCAATTTCTCTTAAACACCCGATCGATACCCGAAAATAACAACTAAAAAGTGTTTTGAAAAAAGAGCTGAAATTATTGTATATGTATAGGGTTGTTCGGAAAGGCATTTTGTTTTTTTTTTGTGGAAATGAAAGACAGTTTTCGTATAATAAACAAATACTTTATTAAATTATATATTGACCGTTCTGGTCCAACACCTTTTGCCATCTTTCTGGTAGTAACATAATTGGTCTTTGCTGGCAAAAAACTGATCGAGGAGGTTTTTGACCTCCTCATTTGAGATGAAGGTTTTACCGTCTAAAAAATTTTGGATTGACCGGAACAAATAATAATCCGATGGTGCCAGGTCTGGAGAATATGGTGGGTGTAGCATTGTATCCCATTCAAGCTGTAAAAGCTTTTGGCGAGTGACCAAACTTGTGTGAGGTCTCGCGTTGTCTTGGTGAAACACTACACCTTTCCTGTTGATTAGTTCTGACCTTTTCTGTTGAAGTGCATCATTCAGTTTGTCCAGCTGATGACAGTAGACTTCCGAATTAATCGTTGTGTTATCCGGTAAAAGCTCAAAGAAAACGATTCCTTTAAAATCCCACCAAACAGACAGCATCACCTTTTTTGGTGAATATATGTGAAGATATGTCAAAAATGCTGCTTATCACTCTCCATATTTAAAAGGGCACCAACCAAAAACTACTGCGTAGAATTAATTGGAATTTTTCACACACAAGCCTTGCTATATGAGCTCTCAAAGCATATAAAAGTTATACGGTTTAAATGTGAAGTTGGGTGCAAAAGAATACAATTAAATCCTCTGTCGGGAAAAAACGAAATGACTTTCCGAACAACCCTATACCATCGTATCAGGACATGATGGCCCATTTATTGGCACACTGTTGATATCATTACTACTCAAATGTAGAGAAAAATTCGGCTATTTGTAAATCTATATTTTTAAAATTCTTATAAAATTATTGTATTTAAGTTTTTGAAATTATTTTTCCAACACCTTTGCATTGATACCCCACTGGAACAGTTTTCAAATAATTATATTTCAAAGCGCAATGTAGACCATAAAACATCCTTATTAAAGCCTATTAACCCCTTTAAGAACCATTTAATCGTTGGAAAAATACGATGTTCAAGATTTATTTCTATTTTTTTTACCGCGAAACGAAATTGAAACAAACAAAAACAGAGTAGACTTTTATTTTTTTTTTACCTTAGATAAATATTTTTTTACATTAGATAAATAATTCTTTAAAACAAAAATCTAACGAATATCATATATTTCCCGAGTAAAAATTTTCATCTGTTTTAATTCTAAAATTGACAATTTCATCCATTTTACTCCGAAATTAGACTATTTTCGACCTTAATTTCGAATCTACTACTACTTCTCTCCAAGCTGAAGTTCATGTAAGTTTGTTCTCATAGTCATCTGTTTTAATCCGCTTGTATGAATTTCATACGATTTTGACCTTCTGATGTATGTATACAATCGAATTTTTTATTTAAAGTCAACTGCGACAAATGAATTCATATTTTGTAAATGGCGTAGTGGCAGCATAATCGACTTGGCATTCTAACTGACGCCGGTTCGAATCCGGTCTCGATCATTTGCGTGGTTTTTCTGAATATCATTAATGAGCAAAGAGATCTTTCCGATAAGTGAGGCTAAAAATAGTAAAACTGGAAGACAATTAAGCTAGAATACTAGAATAATGTTGAAACACAACAAAAGTCTAAAACAGATGAAAATTTTCCCCTCAGAGCCTACGTATATGAATAAAAATTCAACAGAAGTATCAATCACATTTTAAGTGCGTTTCATCAACAACATAACAATTGTCATCCGTAACAAGGACATGACCCTAATTTTACTAATTGACTTTCAATTTCTGCATTGCCCTAGGCATCACAAGCCTTCTAATTATAACATAAGCCGAGTACAAAGTTACAAATGCAACAGACAACATAACTGCTGCTACATCTAAAAGATGATACTGATACCATGGTAAAGTCGCTCCTACACTTCTCAATTGTCTTGCACCCTTATGTCTAATGACGTATTCCACCCAGTAGACTGCTGTATCTGCAGCTGATAACGGCCGGTCTCTAAACTGATGCGATACCATTTGCGCATTTTCTTTGTATCTAAATAAAATATATAATAAATTTAAAAAATGCGAATCTTACACTAGTAGTCAATGATGTATATCATCTAACATCGCTAACGCGTAAAATAATAAGCTGCATGGAAATTCGTCGTGCTTTTCGAGACCAAGGTTACCAGATCGATCGTCATAACTGTTGATAACTGTGTTTCATTTCTTTTCTAGTTTGGAAGTTGAAAGAATCCAAAAAATGTAAAAACAACCGATTTTTAAAATTGCTTGTTACTTAATTTTGCAATTTTTGACACATAATTAGTATCATGGGGTAAGGAGACTAGACTAGGATAACGTCCCCCTAAAAATGAGGAAATCGGGGAGACATTTCTCGACTAAAATCTAGTCCACATAATATTGTATAATATAAGTAATCATCATCAAAAGGTCGTCAGTCCTAAGACTGGTTGGACACGCACCTCCACTCTTTCTTATCCTGAGCTAAACTTCGCATTTCCCTAAAACTAAAACAACACACATCCTTAACTATTTGCGAACATAATCTAATCTAGATCTACCTCTACCCCTTATAACTTCCGCTTGTGCCTCGAATATGTCTCTGACTACACCTTCATACCTGAGAAGGTGTCCTACCAACCTATCTCTTATTTGAAGCTATCTCTAACTCCTCCTTGCTAGATGCTAATACTGCATAAACTAAGTAATACCTGCATAATAAATTAAACAACAACTTTTATTTCCATTTTCCAAAAGTACCAGAACAGTGGGTACCGGATCCAAACCGAAAACCCATCCCATATCTGCCGGTTATGTATTACAAATAGCAAAATCTTATGGAGTACAAGTAACCTCAAAAAAAGGATTCTATTGCTTTCTTGTATCGCCTCGTCAAGGGGCTTCCATTTAGAGAAACTTCTTCTCCTACCATCTCTCTTCCCCCGCCCCTCCTGTACCCACTCTAATGTCCTACTATACAAAAGTTGACCCATTTTTCTCCTCTCTCTCTTACTCTTCAAACGCCAACTATAAAATCCTTGGCCTACAATCATGGCTTTTCTCACCCCTCATTTCCTCTTACACGATTCCATCGCATAAAATTAATCCCACGCCCGTGCGATAAGATATTACACATCAAAGAGCAACGAAGGTAATAAAAAGAAATATTTCTTCACTTACTGAGGATCCTCGAGGAGATTTCTGGTGGCATTCAGCAAGGAATCTGTCGTTAAATGATTTAAAGAAAGTTTTAAGGCTAAACCTTTTGCAACGAAATTTCTGATATTTAAATGTTGATCAACGAAAATAGGAAACGCCAACATGGGAACTCCACAATAGACTCCTTCCTGAGAACCCATGAGACCTCCGTGGGTAACGAACAGCTTCAGGTTAGGATGGCCTAAATTCAAAAGATAGTTATGTTTTGTATTAGAGGGAGGCAGAGAATGAATTGCTCTTACAGAGAATGTCTCTTTGAGGCATCCACTGCTCAAAGATAACATTCTTGGGAATGTCCAAAGATTTAGGCATTTTGTCTCTGGGTCCCACAAGTAAAAATTTGTATGGCAGTTGTCCAAATGCGTTGCAGAAAGTCCTTAAGGTTTCCAAGGGCAACGTTTCCAAAGCTGCCATTGATCCCAAACTTAAGAAGACCACACCCTTGTACTCTTTCCCGGTATCCATTAACTTTTCAAAATACTAAAACATGAAAACTGAGAGAAAATCGTCTAAATTGTTTTGTGTAATAGGATTTTTTATATATATATATTTATTAATTCATTCATGCCATTAAATGTAAAGTACCTNTTAATGGTAACACGAAAGGTACTAATAACAAAAAACTTCACCAAAAAAATAAAAAGGGTTCCCAAAATTGGATGCCCTCCACAAAATAGGGAATACTGAAAAAAGGTTAGTTTTAAAATCATATAAATATATTTAATAGGTTTCTAAATTTGGACATGATGTTTTAGAACTATCTTGCTATCAAAAATTAGCTCAAATAAGCATCAACAATAAACTATCGAATCGTACACCACAGCTAAAATATTTTTTTATAGGTTATAAAAAGATGTTAACGGGTTTTAAGATAATATAGTTTCCAAAATTAGGTAGTTGTCCAAAATTTGTCGACTTGTTTCTATACCCGATTAAAATATTGATACAGTTACCGAAAAAAAAAAGAAGGCTATATTCAAGACCCTTGAGAAGTTTAAAAATCAACATTTTATATTATTGCTGCTAAGTCCGTCTCTGTAACATTTCTTAATCTGTACAGATATTAGATGTATGAATATTTGTAAAATTCAGTCTAACTTAATTATAAAAAGCTTCAGTTATTATTACGCTACATCAAGGACCAATTTAAAAGAAAAATCGTTTAACTTCTTTATGCGAATAGTAAAAAAAATAGTTTTTTCGTAATTCCGGGTTTTAAAGGCAGTTTTTAGTCAGTAAGGTAATTAAGTTACTCAATTTTTGTATACTTTCTAAATGGAAAATTACACATTAACAAAAAGTGTTATTGACTGCATTTAAAAAAAGTAATGTGCAAAAATATTTTCCTGTGAAAACAAATAACTTTCAAGCAAAAGTAGGACTATTCTCTATAATTCTCCAAGTTNACTGAAATGTTTTCAGATAAACTTATTTCTTGATTCGACAATATTGTTTCGGTCAATATCTTACTTACTTACTCTTACGGTTAAACCACCACCGCTTCTAGGTTCCATTCAGTACAGTAGGTAGGTACTCAAATTAGTGAAAATCGCAGTGACGTGAACCCTTTTTCTGTTTTAAGCTTTAAAAATTTCCAATTATTCAATTAGAGCTAATGGTAGAAATAAAAAGCAACTTTTGTCTTTAACATAGGTACCTATATACATTTTATTTTATTTATACGAATCATAAGAACTGAAAATCCAAAATATTTTCAAAGAAAATTTTTTTTATCATATCATAAGTCCATAAATTCTTGATTTCGAGCAGCTGAGCATTTTCTCTGATATGATACTCGTATTTATTACTTATGAAATGCCATCTTACAATAATTAATAGGATCGATAGTCTCCCTTCAGGTTGTTGGAACATCCTCATTGGTAAAATAACAACCTTTTATAATTCTATTTCCAGAATAATTGAATACGACATTATCTATTGCATTTCGTGTTTTTATTAAGGATTAAAACTTGAATCCATGTGTATAAAATTAAAATTAAAGCATTTACTTACCTCTGGAAGAGGTTTGGGATCCTGTATGTGGAGTCCACCGACTTCTATGACGTTTGGTACCCAGGGCCTTGCCACATTGATACTGTAATGACTATTTACAAGATGTAACGCAGAATATTTCATTATCAAATCTTCTAATTCAGGAGTACTTGATCCAAAGAAATTCTTCACTGCTTCATTTGATCGGCTTAGTGATTTCTGCTTATACCTAAAAATTGTAAGAAAAACATAATCAGAAATTTATTACCAAAGTAGTTGATTTTCAGTATCTAGGAACTCAAATAATTCGAGATTCACTAGAAATATATAACAAAGGTTAGCACAGGGTCGAATCGCCTATAACAAAAAATAGTCAGTTTTATGCTCGTAAACGGTTAATTTAGAAATTGGAAAAATATTGTTGAATGATGATGATGATAATACCGTGGATAGAGAAGGTTAGGAATGAGGAAATATTAGAAAGAGTAGGAGAGCAGAGAAGCAGGAGTTAAAAAGAGTAGAAGTAGACCCAAATTAGATTACTGTTCACAAACAGTTAAGGATGTGAAGGGAAATGCGAAGATTAGCTCAGGATAATAATGAGTGGTGACTTACGATCATTACGATGAAGATGATGACTTATGTTGTAAATACCTGAATTTGGCGGTCATCACAACGACTGTATTCCAAATCCTTTCCCACAAGGTCATTTCACTCAAATAGGGTAAAAAGTAATTGGGAATGTACGAAGGATTGTCAGGGTTTCCAAATCTGTCATTTCCCCATGGCAAATTGACGCTGGTAGTTAACGTAACAACAGGCACATCAAACAAATATGCATATCCAAAAGGACAATCGCTTCCGAAAATTTCCGAAATGATTAGATCGTATTTCTGGGTGGACATCTTCAGGTCTCTTGCGACGCTTGTATTCAGTGCCTTCGTACACGCATCCAAACCACAGTCCGTGGTCATGAAATCTACCATCGCAACAGTGGATGTTGATAACTGCTCGAAAAATGATAAGGATACCGCCGAAACCAAATTGGGAACGATTCCTTTTATGCTTAAGTCGTTGTATCTGAAATTTAGAAATCAGACATTTACTTTTACTATCTATACATACATGTGTAGCTTAATATATTCAAATACACCTACACAATAAATAGCAGGCCGATAGAAAAAACAGTACCACCTCATTAACCCCACGTCTTCCTAAACTGACTTACGAATTTTTAGGGTTCCGTGCCTCAGAAATAAATAAGACCCCTTTTCTCAAGAACGCGTGGAGGTATCAAGTTGAAATTAATGTCAAATGCGAAGTATTGCGAATGCGTTTCATAATTTATTCATGAATATCTATTTTGTCCCCTTCAAAGTAATCCAATCCCCATCAGATATTAGACACTTGTGCGAACGTTTTTTTGCAATCCTGGAAATACTTCAAAAAATTGTTTTTTGTGATCTTGTTCAGCTTCTCCTTCGATGCCGTCGTTATCTCTTCAATCGTGGCGTCTCATCGTCCTTTCATGGACCTCTTCAGTTTCGGGAACAAGAAAAAGTCACAGGGGGTCAGATCTGAGGAATACGGTGGCTGCGGCATCGTTAGTGTGTCGTTTTTGGCCAAAAACTCGCGCACAAGCAACAATGTGTGAACAGGGTCGTTACCATGGTGCAAAAGCCAATTTGTGTCCTTCTCCTGATGCACCGCGCCCCTGCAATCGAAGAAAACTGTAAGCAAAACCTTCACATTCGACCTAACTAGGCGCGCTTCTTTTTGGTCTTGGCTCGGGCGGGAGCATCCTATGAGCTTTGATTTCACGTCAGAACAATAAACCCATGATTCGTCACCAGTTATGACCCTCTGGAGCAAATTTGGGTAGTCACGGACAGAGTCCAGCAGCTCCTTAGCAATGTTAATGCGATACTGTTTTTGATCGAAATTGGGCAATTTTAGTACGAATTTCGCGGCGACCCATCTCTTACCCAAATCATTAGTAAAAATCGAATGGCAGGAGTCGATCGATATGCTTAGGTCCTCAGTAATTTCACTAACGGTGATTTGACGATTGGCGAATACTATTTTCTTCACTTCATCAATGTTTTTGTGTGTTGTTGACGTGCTCGGGCGTCCGGCACGCTCTTCGTCGTTCACATCTTCTTGGCCCTCTAAGAAAAATCTATACCACCGATAAACGTTGCTTCTGTTCAAGGTAGCTTCACCATATGCAACAGTTAACATTCGGAATGCGTCCACGCACTTAATTTTGTTTTTCAGACAAAATTTGATACAGATTCTTTAATCCCTTTTTTCGAAATAAGCAAAAATGGAAAACGAGCCAAAGCTTCTGGAAGCCAAGGAGGAGGAGAAATCTTCGAGACTCAATTCTCATCTTGTACGTGCCCACAAATTTGTACGAAACCCTTAAGCCGCGAGTCGAACTCTGCTTTTCTGTAAATTACAGCATTTTCGGTACACTCCACCTTCTCTGCCTTAATCTGTTTTTGGAATTCTGGAATAAGCATACTAAGCACATCACTGACTGTATTTTATAACACAAAACATTGCTGGGTTTAGAAACAATCCATAAATTAATTATTTTTAAACTAGAAAGTTTCACTCAGTATATTAACGTGAAAAACCTAACATTTTATTCACGTATTAGCAAAAAACTAGCCGCATGCAAGAATGCAAAACACTGCATCTATTTTTATCTAATTGTTATTCAAAGCGTGTGTGGAGGATAAATGTATATTTTACATAATATTTATTTAATGGCATTTTTATAAGCAAGATCTATATAGATAGCTATTCTTAAACCTGAATTTATAATACAAAGAAAATATGTAAATTAACTTAATGTTATAATGTTAATGTCATAAAATTTTACTGCAAAAACGAATGGCAACCTATACATTATAACGCGTTTTCTAATAAATTATTATAATAGCTTTATTCATAATAGCACAGGTAACTAATAAAATTGCCTAGATAAATTGCATTTACACTGATCATCAAAACTATTTTTGAAAACATAAATTTGCTTGTTTTTGATGTAATAAGAAGCCTCTCAAATTATTAGCTTCATCATCATAAAGTAAGGTCGTCAGTCCTAAGACTGGTTGGACACGCGCCTCCACTCTTTCCTATCCTGAGCGGATCTTCGCATTTTCTCTAAAACTAGAACATCCCACATCCTTAACTATCTGTGAACAGTAATCTAATCTAGGTCTACTTCTACTTCTCCTAACTCCTGTTTCTGCTTTAAATATGTCTCTGGCTAGCCCCTAATGCCTGAGAAGGTGCCCTACCGACCTATCTCGCCTATTGCCTCTGTTCTCCTATTCTTTCTAATACATCTTCATTTTTAACCTTCTCTATCATATGTGTTTCATTCCCACCAGCCACTAATGCAGCCACCTTTCAGAAATCGTGGGAATGGATGGGTGATGGTTCGGATGAGAAAGATGAGATGGACGAAATGAAGACAGGAAAGAATGAATGGAATATTACTGCCCCGGCAATTGCCTAAGTGATCAAAGGAAATCACAAAAAACTTAAACCAAAGGCAGACGGACCCGGGATCAAGCCGGTGTCCTCCCGAATGCTAGCTAAGAAATGGTCTAAACCTCTACACCATGCCGCTCGGTAGTTAATATCACCAAACCGAGAATTTTGGGATAATTCACCCCTTGTACTTAGAAGATGATGCAGATAATGGCGTGACATTTATCTACATATCACCACTATGTGGAAATGCTCCAAAATTTCTTAGTGTAGTCCATCGAGGTAGAACTGATCACAGTCTCGTATGATTCTAGCTAAATGGTGCAACTTCACATACAGCTGGATACGTTCAGAATAATGAATATCGCTAAATGGAGAAACCAGATGTTAGTGAAACAATTGGCGCAAGACATTTATTGTTGGTCTAACCGTGTGCGACGTTGCACCATCTAATTACTGAAACCACACGAAACTACGGTCAATTCTACATTGACGAAGTTGTGTGGCGCTAAGAAATTTTAGAACCTTTCTACATAGCGGTTTAATGTAAGTGTTACAGCATTACATGCATCGTCTTCGAAGAACAAAGGACCAATTGGGATAATCATCTTGCTCGTTCTCCTGATTTATCATTTTGCGATCAAGGAACTAGCTTAAAAGTCAAGTAAATAAGACAAAAATTTCATCTGCCTCATTCTGTATTTCAAACAATAATCACGTTCTTATGAACAAATTGAACCGCATAAACAATTATAAAGCGCTTTATTAACTTCATCTATTCCATTTGCAATATCTTAGATCACTGTTGCAGTACACCAAGTTCGACAAATGTGGTTTTGAACTTTGTATATCTATAGATGAATCCTAAATTATTAGTTAAACAATTTTGGTAGCTGAAGAAAACCTCTTAAAATGAAAAACTCCAATATAAATAAACTATGGGTTAACGTTAACCGATTGTTGCAAAACATTAACGTCTTATTTATTTTTCTCTTTTGTTAAATTGTTTGAATTATTAAATTCTTACCTTGGTGGTGGATTCTTCTGTGGAAAATGGCTAACAACGTCGACGACATGCCCTCTTTTGGCCAGTTCTTTATACAAACGTTCGAACATAACAAAGTGGCTTTTCCCATGAAAAATGTTGATACCCAAAATCCGATATCCGTCTCCATATTGGCATAGAACAGTCAACAACAGCCCCAAGAGCGCAGTCAGTCGCATCTTACTACCACCAATTTTGCACTTCTTACAATTGCTTTGAAGAAAGTAATAACTGGATTTCGGATTATATGCACTAAAAATTAAAAAATATTTGCATGAAAATATGCTAGAAAATAATCAAAATATATACCGTGATTTATATTAATATGCATTTATTTTTTTGAAAATATTTTCAATAATAATCAAATAATTAAATGACAAAAAATACAATGTATCCACGTTAACACTTACATTTGTTTAAAAATGTTTACAGAAAATTTAACTAAAAAGACAAAAAGCTAATGAACATTACCTTTAGACAAATTATAACTAATCCTACTAAATGTTTCTGTAAATTATCTATAGATAGTAAAATTATGTCATCTGTCTGTTAAAAAATGTTTGTAAATAGAAAATGTTCCTTCTACTTCACCTGACGTTAGAGGTGCATATTTTAAAGTATGGATAAAAAACCAAGCTGAGTTTCTAAATTTTCTGTTGTTGTATAACCGTCTAAAATGTCATTTATATGATCCAATTTTTTAAACCCAAACTCTACTAATAACGTAGTATTCTGCTTAGCGATATCGTTACTGATAAGCTATTTTTTCACTAAGAACTGCTGCTCTAAATTGAAATGTTACAAAAAAAATGATAATAAAATGTGCCGCACTTATCTCAATGTATAAACAATTTTAATTAAATGAAACTATGTTACGGTCAATATAATTTATTTGTTTTATTATACCGGGTTTGATCAACAAATGAACAAAAACAACTCCAATAAGATACTTACCACCAAATACAATATACTTAAATCAATGGACATAATAATGACCCAAGAAAATGTGTTCGTTACATGCAATCGTCCGCTACAGGCGATTTTTGCCAAGTGTGGTGTTGACAAAGATATTAATATATTCATAAATAAATTGGTAATAAGTAGCAATCTCGGTATAATTAACGTATCTGTACTCATATTTGGTTACTACTACTACTATTACTTATGCACATTTGATGTAACTAATTCGCGAAATTAGCAACTGCTTATTATATTAGAAGAAGTGGCTGATCTAGGAAGTCAGATAAGTCAGGACGGAAGGAGTAGTAGGGATATAAAGCAGAGGATAGCGCAGGGTCGTGTCGCCTTTAATAAAAAGAAGTCACTTCTATGCTCGCGAACGGTTAATTTAGAAATTCGAAAAAGGTTGTTAAAGGTTTGTTTGGAGCGCGGCGTTGTACGGGTGCGAAACATGGACAGTGAGCGCAGCGAAAAAAAAAAGGTTAGAAGCCTTCGAAATGTGGTGTTATAGGCGAATGATGAGGATACCGTGGGTAGAAAAAGTTAGAAATGAAGAGGTATTAGAAAGAATAGGAGAACAAAGGACTCTATGGAAGTCAATAAAAAACGGGCTAGATAGGTTGGTAGGACACCTTCTCAGGCATGAAGGTCTAGTCAGAGACATATTAGAGCCAGAAGCAGGAGTTAGGAGGGGTAGAGGAGGTGGAGGTACGTGTCTAACCAGTCTTAGGACTGACGACCTTATGATGATGATTATATACGAAGGGATACAACATTTTTGGAATAAAAAATCGTTAATTTTACTTTCTAATATTTGTTTTATTGCATAGGTATTACAATTTTGAAAGGTTCTTTCGACAATATCCTTTGATAACGTTAATGTATCTAAAAGAATGAGCTATTAACTACATTTTTAATACTTATCCTGAATACTCGAGGGACTAGTGGCAGAAACTTTCAGCAAAATTTACACCAAACCAACAAAAAAGGAATTATTTTCAAAACTACCTCTAAATATACTGAGTAGTGTACTTTCTCATTTGTTTATTTGTAAATATGTATATAGTATATGTGCGTATACTATTTGCAATATCTAATCCTAGGTCAAACATTGTAAGAAGTTAAAAAGTATTAATTAGGCATTGTTACATTACACCTTAAGCACCTCTTGTATTATCACGACATCGCAGCGTGAATAGGCGGTTAGATACAGATGTATTAAAAAGGTCAAACCCACCAAACTAATGACCAACATTCGGTTAGGACATTCACTCTTTGCGAAGTCAGTAACCTCGTTTCAAGTGTTTGCATAAGTTTATTATTGATATATGTATACGCGCAAGTACATACGTACAATTGTGTTAACGGCAGTATCACTATCGGTGACATGATACCTGAGGTCTAAGAAAAAGAAAATGTTAACTGCATGACGACTTTATTCTTCAAATTCTCCAACAGATTCTAGATATAATCGAACACTGAAATGTTTTCAGATAAACTTATTTCTTGATTCGACAATATTGTTTCGGTCAATATCTTACTTACTTACTCTTACGGTTAAACCACCACCGCTTCTAGGTTCCATTCAGTACAGTAGGTAGGTACTCAAATTAGTGAAAATCGCAGTGACGTGAACCCTTTTTCTGTTTTAAGCTTTAAAAATTTCCAATTATTCAATTAGAGCTAATGGTAGAAATAAAAAGCAACTTTTGTCTTTAACATACGAGGGTGGATTGATAAGTTTCCGGCCTAACCAAGAGATGACGCCACTAGGCCTACCTTGAGGTGACATTCTATAGTACCATCCTTGGATAGCTTGTAGCTATAGTTTCAGCCCGATCTCCT